GGGGTTGCTGTGTGTGTGTGGAGTGGGGTGGTAAGTGTTTGTTTTTTACGGCGCTCGCAACTGTATACGGTCATATGAGCACATCTGAATGTTTCCTGAGTTTTCCGTTCTAGTAAACCAGTGTGGAGTCTTCCTGAATCTGGCCTCCTGGTGGGGCGGTTTGGTCGTAGTTGTTGCTGTTTATGTTGCTGTTGCTGTTTATGTTGTCGCTGTTGTTGTTGTTTTTGTTGTTGTTGTTTTTGTTGTTGTTGTTGTTGCTGCTGTTATTTTGGTTGCTGTTTTTGTTGTTGTTGTTGATGTTGTTGTTGTTGATGTTTTTCTTGTTTTTGTTGTTATCGTTGTTGCTTGCAGTGGTGGTAGGTAGATAGATCTAGATGTTTTATTGAATTTCGTGTTGAAAGCATTGGCCCACATCACATAAAATATTCATTTTACAGAAGAGATTTCACGGACCAGCACAAATTTTAAATGATATACGACATAATATGGGAGGCAGCGCGGTGGAATCAGGCTCTCGTCAACTGTTGGGCATATTGAGTCATTGGTATCATCTTAAAGCTTGTTCATTGGTCTTGCTTTCAAGGAAAAAATTACCCACCCATCTTCAATAGAAGTGGAGATATTTTGGATTGAAGGAGGTGGGGGTCACCTGATTTAAGAAGTAAAATTAGCAAGAAAATGGCCGCCAAAGCTTGGTAAATTTCAAAGCTGGATAGTCCATGGAAACTGTAAATTTATATTTTTGTGCCTTTAATCAACGTTTTCGGTGAAATCCCCAAAGGAATGTGTTTGTAAATGGACATAAAAGGTGTTGAGCCAAAAAACAAAAATTTGAAAAAAATTCCTTAGCAGGGAGAAAACAGCTGTTTTCTTCGATTTCATTATTTTGACGAGAGCCTGATTCCACCACGCTGCCTCACAATATCAATAAGATTTTAAAAACGTTTTGTGTTGTTTTTACAAAGTGTCTATGATAAGATAGTATTGTACCTTTTCTCAATCCCTGCCTACCAGATTTCTTTTCCCGGAGGAGAGAGGATCGAGATGGAGAGAAGAGGAATCTCCCTCAATGTCGTCCTCAACCTGCCCCCTGGGCATGCGCGGAGTGCCTCGGCGGGCGGGGTGTGTGGCAATATGGCGAAGAACTTCACCCATCATCAACTGACCAACCCGGACGGCTCTCAGACTACCTGCCAAAAGTACACTGGTCAAAAGGACTGTCTGAACACTAACTTCAACTCCGCTTGGAAGTAAGTTCACAGAGTTCTTTTTTGGCGCTCATATGACCTTATGCAGTTGCGAGCGCCGAAAACCACTACTACCCCCCCCCCCCCTAAAAAAAATTGTTTTTTTCTTCTGGTAAGCGTTTTACGTCGCTCGCAAATGCATAAGGTTATATGAGCGCGCGGGACACCCCTAATATTTTCAGTTGGTAGGAAATTTTGAATTTTGTCTGGGTGGCGGCCGAAGCCTACTCTTTTAGATTTTAGATCACCAAGGGATCCTTAACGTGCGCAACTTGCCCGCGGGCCTTCCAAGATTTTTCGCCCTTGTCCGAGAAGGCTAGGTGTAGATCTTTCCTACCAGAAGATCAGGGGTGTGGCGGAAAGACAGCAGTAAGAAGGAGCCAAGGAGTAGCAGTAGAAAGGCTGCAGAAAGAAGGAGCCAAGGAGTAGCGGTAGAAAGGCTGCAGAAAGAGTCAGGAGCCTGGAGGTGGCGTGGGAGAAAAGGAGGTGAGGGGATAGGGGGGGGGGAGAAAGAGGAGACGAAAGCGGACGATAGAACATTGCAAGAGAGCAGGAAAGGAGGTGAAAGGAGACCATTTTAGAGCATCACAGAGTTCTCGTGAATGTACATAATGCAGGGTCTACGATGAATACATATAAGTGTACAGGTTTCGGGGTGGGGGGGGGGAGGTTGTATTTATTTAGGGGGGGGGTGTTTGTTTGTGTTTTGTTTTTGTTTTTCGATAAGTGTTTTACGGCGTTCGCAACTGCATCAGGTCATATTGGCGCACAGGGCACATTAAGCATTTTCAGCATGGTAGGAATTAATTCTGATTTTTTTCCCTCTCTTTTGTGCAGACAGCCAAAAGGCAAGTCGTTGTTCACCAACCCTCCAGCCTACGCCAAGCCGTACACGCCAAAGAGCCTGTGCGCATGCTCCGACGGTGAGTAGTCTGTTGAGAGAGACCACGCCCACCTCAGCACGTCAATGGCACAGTTCCGCCTTCATTCTTAAAAGTATTGTGGATGCAGTTTTTATAACTGTTGCTATAGTTCCCGTGTGTCTTGTGCTGGTATCTTTAGTTTTGTTGGTGTTCACATTATTCTTACGAGTTGTTATATATGCATAGAGCTTGTTTTCTCTCTGTCACTATCTCTCCCACCCCGCCCCCTCTCTCTCTCTCTCTC